CTGGGGGGATTCCCTGGGGTCCAGTGGTGCTGTTGCTGGGCTCCTGGGCAGGTGGCCGGTCGGGCAGGCGGGCGCGCGAGGGAGCACTCAGTGCTTCCTCTTCAGCTCCCTCGCGCGCCACTTAGGGATGCCGGCGCCGGCAGATGACGTCATCTTCCGGCTCCGGCATCAGTGCGGTGCGCGAGGGAGCTGAAGAGGAAGCACTGAGTGCTCCCTCGCGCGCCCGCCTGCCCGACCGGCCACCTGCCCGCTGGGGTCAGCAGGGCCAGCCTCGGGGGGCCCTGGGGTGGTCGGCTCCTGGCCCCCCCAGGGGAAGAGGCTGGCCCTGTGGCTACATACCGGGTCGCAGGGGCGGCCGGGCCCCCTGGTGGGCCGGGCCCGGTCGCAGCCGCGACCCCTGCGACCCTGGTATGTACGCCACTGTGTGTGGGTCGAAACTACCTCGAATGGGGGTTTCTCTTTTTACTCTAAGATAGGTGAATCGTGTGGGCCTTGGTGGTTATCAGAAATTATATGTATGGGCATGATAACTTTGGTCAGAGCACATTCTCCCCACCACAGGCCAGTCATTTTTTATCTGAGTTGCATGTCACCACATTTACTAATAGGGCAGTGGGAGGTTGTCGATAAGTGGTACAGTAGCCATAAGGGAATTTACCTACAAATTTACCTGTGGCTCCATGTATTGCATAGCAAGTGTAGTTACCTGGTGTGACGAGACCAATCTCGCCACATTGCATTGGAGAAGCCTGGTTGCTCGCCTGTTGACTTTGGATTATGGCCCCATGTTAAAAGGCTTGATTTTCCCCTTCAAAGACATGAAAGCCGGGTCATTTGGTGCTTGCCCTGTTTGAGCAGTGATACACCAGATAGCTATGCCATGGAGCCCATTCGTATAATCAAAGACTATGGGAAAGACTTTGGCTCCATGGCAATTGAACTGTATGCTGGTAGAGACTGATTGCCAGGAGTGTAAGCCGCTTGGGTGCTTTTCCTGTTCAGCTGCTAGCAGCTATTCGTGAGGTTCCAGTTCGGGAGTTTGGAGTGCTACTCGGTATCCTGTTCGGAGTTTGGGGTTCTGCAGTGGCTGTGCCTGTGTCTCTGGAAGGGGAAGATCTTCTAATGGCGGTTTAACCCTTTTATGCCTGGGGGTGCCGTTACAATTGGTGGTAGCGGTGGGATCGTTCCCACAGCCAGAAGGACAGCTACAGGAGACACCATTCCGTGGATTTTACAAATTGAGGGCAACGCATGTCTGAGTACAGTGACCCTGACAGCATCAGGATGGAACCAGCAGTGGAGTACGATGAGGGTGTCATGGATGACCGAGATGCAGTTCGCAAAGGCATCTGGTACCAGGCACTGGGCATTGTGGAGTACCAGCGGGGGGAGAGACTCCCCAAGGAAGACCAGCGATTGCAGAAGCGACTAGCCCTGCGGATGCCCTTCCTGGGAGAGCAGCCCCTGGAGGAATGGGTGAAGGAATTGGAGCTCCGGGTATGGCAGAAGATTTGGCTGGAAGATGCCTACCAGGCGCTCTGGTGGTATGGGGCACAGTACCTGCCCTGGACAGCCGAGCATGACAAGCCAGAGGGAGAGGAGTTTGATGGTCCTGGTTTGTTATGGGAGGCTTTTTCAGAGCCTGAGTTTGGGAGCTCTACACAAACTCGGTTCAGTGATCTCTTTTAGTGGAGGGAGAACAGGTATGACTGGGACGACACTCATGAGATTGAGCAAGACCTGGTCCACCTAGTGACCCAAGAGATGGAGCTGGAGCAGGGCTACCAAGATCTGTTCCACTCCAGTGAGAAGGCTCAGCAGGGAAGCAGAGACCCAGATCCAGACCCATTCAGCTGGGCAGATATTGCAGAATGTTACTGGGAAGAACCCCAGGTGGCTGGTGGAGATGGGACCGAGGTCTCTCCACCGGTCCTGCAGGGAATTGGGAGCCCCGTCTCCAATCCCCAGCTGGAGATATTGCAGGGAATTGGGAGCCCAAGCTCCATTCCCCAGCGGCAGGCTGAGTTACAGGGGACAGAGATAGTTGGTCCTGTCCCCCAGCAGCAGTGTACCTTGCAGGGAGAGGAGAGCAGTGTCCTCCCTCCCCAGTGGCAGGGTGAGCTACAGGGATGCTGGGCAGTCGGCTCAGATCCCCAGCGGCAGTGTGAATTACAGGGAATTGGGAGCCCAGTCTCCATTCCCCAGCGGCAGTATGAGTCATTGGGAATTGGGAGCCCAGTCTCCATTCCCCAGTGGGATATACAGCAGGGAACTGGGAGCCCAGTCTCCATTCCCCAGCGTCAGAGTGTCCTACAGGGAATAGAGAGCCCAGTCTCCTTTCCCCAGCAGCAGGACTCTGTATTGGGAGCAGAGACAGTCGGTCTCCGTTCCCCGCGGCTGGAAGTATATATGGGAGAGGAGCTTGTTACCCCCTCTCCCCAGCGGCAGCTTAACGTACTGGGGGGGAAAGTAAACCCCACAACCGTGCAGATGGGACCATGGTCTATGCACTTACAGCACAGGGGGTAGGGACAGTCGGTTCTGCCCCCCAGCGATAGGGCTGTTTAGCCAAAGGGAAGACAGTCAGTCTCCCCCTCCAGCAACCGAGCGGTGTAACCAAAGGGGAGACAGTCGGTCTCCCCCTCCAACAACCAGGCTTCAACCAGGCTACTCCCGTGGTAGCGCTAGCACCAGGGCTCCATGGCAATTGAACTGTATGCTGTTAGAGACTGATTGCCAGGAGTGTAAGCCGCTTGGGTGCTTTTCCTGTTCAGCTGCTAGCAGCTATTCGTGAGGTTCCAGTTCGGGAGTTTGGAGTGCTACTTGGTATCCTGTTCGGGAGTTTGGGGTTCTGCAGTAGCTGTGCCTGTGTCTCTGGAAGGGGAAGATCTTCTAACGGCGGTTTAACCCTTTTATGCCTGGGGGTGCCGTTACACCAGGGTACATGGTGATTCCATCAGGTGGCCTGGTATTCCCTTGGGTTATTGGGTAAACCTTTTTCCATGACTCACACACTGATGAGTTCACTGCTGTCTGCGCATAGAGGCTTAAGAAACACATCTCAACATCTGGGGGTATATTTAAAGGCACGTACCCAGATGGGGTCTGGCCCCACCACAAACATAATAGTTAGTTTTGTTGTGTGAATAAGCATTATACCTCATCCATTCAAGCCATAGATTAAACCTCAATTAACAGACCGCCCGACAATCACTGCTAGAAGATCTCCAAATTTGCAACATTTACTGGTACACAGCCACATGGCAAGCATAGCCCCAAAATCCAACTGGCTCACCAATACCAAAGAAACTTTTAGATGCAGGCACTGTAACACATGTAAGTTCATTACCACTTCAACTATAGTAAAGTCTACACACTCCAACATTAAGGTATACATCAATGCACTCATTAACTGTAGCACCACTGGGGTTATATGTCTTATAACATGCGGTTGTGGTGCTCAATATATAGGTAAAACCATTCAATTTAGACGTCAAATACTCCAACATCTTGCCTCCAAGATGTAATTACCCAACTCTGGTAGCTAGGCACATTCATAAATTTCACCAGTGGATCATCTTCACTTTCAAGCCATAGAAAGACTCACCCCAAATCCCAGAAAAGGAAATTTCAATAGATGTCTACTACAAAAAGAATCTAGATGGATCTATGCATTTCAGACATTAACTCCTCGTGGATTAAACGAACAATTTAACTACACACCATTCATCCATAACTGAACACAGCAACGGAGAATTACAGTAAATAGATAAAAAATTTTATTTAAATTAAATTCCTTTTTCTAGTTTACCTTAATCATTTGCCATTTGGCGTATCCCTCCTGGAACATCAACCCTGTTACATATCTTAGTATCATCAACAAAAAGACATACCTTACCATCAAGACCTCCTGCAATATCACTAATAAAAATATTAAAGAGAATGGGTCCAAGGCACATTCTTCTTTTTCTTATATCCCTTAACTTCTTCTTAATTTTTAAATTCAGCGCCCAAGATAGGTTTAATTTTATACTCATACACTAATAATACTGGGTCCCCATGCTTACTACTCATTAGTACTAAGTAGCTATGATTCATTTATCCCATAATAGATCCTGCTAATTAAGTCATTATACTAATTGCTAATAGAAATTGCACTACACATAATAACTCACATAGTAAAGTTTATCTCTGACTATTATCAGTACTATTAATTATAATTATCCTATGGATTTTTCCTTAACTGATACACACCAATAAGTACCCTAATTAGCATGGACTGTCTACTGTCCTTATAATATGTCCACTTCATTATCGATGTGTTTTTACTCTCTAACTACTGAGCAGAGAGTGTATATTAGTCCACAAATACAAAGTAACCATTTAACTATTTCCTCTAAAAGATACAAACAGATAAATGAGTTACAGACTTACAGAGTAAAATGAATCAATTATGATTTGAATTAATATGGATATTCTATTGTCCCAATAATAGTTACAAATAATTCTTTCAAACTGATTATAACCATACTAGTTGGTCTGTGGCTTTCCTTTTAATATAAATAATCTATAATCTATATTAACTAATACGTTCAGAGGTAACCATTAGATCTCCTACATATTATAAGAATCCTAGACATAAACTATGTCTTTGAAATGGCTATGTGTTTATTCTGGTACGTTTTCATAATAATAGCCAGCATATGGTTAATTATGACGTCATCATGGGTGCTAGAGTGGACCTATCACATTAATAGGTGCTTTATTTAAACTTAAAAAAAACCCGGGATATGGGTCCCCCCTTGAAGAGCCGCGAAAAACGTGCGTCGGGGCTCAGTTGCACTCCTTACCAGTGGTGTATCCTGGTTTTGTGCTGCCCTAGGCAGGACAAAACTCAGGCGCCCTCTCCCCCCCGTGCCACCCAACCTTCTAAAATACACACACACATTCACTGACAGATACGCATACACTAGCTAACAGAAACACACACACACTAACAGACACACTCACACTAACAGACACACTCACTAACAGACACACTCACTCACACACTAACAGACACACTCACTAACAGACACACACTCACTAACAGACACACTCACTCATTAACAGACACACTAATAGACACACACACAGACACACTAACAGACACACACACAGCGAACACACACACACACACACACACACAGTAATAGACACACACTAACAGACACACACACACACAAACAGACACACACATACACAAACAGACAATAACAGACACACACACACTCACTAACAGACACACACACACTAATAGACACACACACACTAACAGACACACACACTAACAGACACACACACACTAATAGACACACTAACAGACACACACAGACAGACAGACAGACACACACAGACAGACAGACACACACACACACACTAACAGACATACACACACTCACTCACATTAACAGTTTAATTTTTTTAAGCCCCCCCAGCCTCCTTACCTTTGGGAATGCTGGGGGGGTTCCCTTTCTCCTTGGGGTCCTGTGGCTGAGGGGCGGGCGGCGTTGTCTGCTCAGCTCCCTCGCGCGCCTCAGAGTGAGGCTGGGAGCCGGGTTGATGATGTCATATTCCGGCTCCCAGCCTCACTCTGAGGCGCGCGAGGGAGCTGAGCAGACAGCTCAGGGGAAGTACTCCCTCGCCAGCTGACTGTCAACGCCGCCCGGCCGGTCAGTTAGCCGCGAGGCTAACAAGGCATTTGCCCAGGTCATTTGGGGAGTGGCTTTTTTTGCCGCCCCCTGGAAAATGCCGCCCAAGGCAAATGCCTTGTTTGCCTCGCGGCTAAAACGCCCCTGCTCCTTACCCTGCACCAAATAAACCCCTCATCCTACATTGATATCTTTGGACAAACTTGACTTTAGATTCTTCTTAATCAGATCAATGTGGCGTTTATAACTTCACCGTGTAGGAAGATCTTTGGGGCTGGCAGGGAAAGAGCTCAGCTATTGTAGTGCATTTTCAGGAATAATTTAGACAGTAATCCTTTCAGTTTAGCAATATATTAGGTGCCCTCGAAGGCACAGATTTAGGGTTACAATAGTTTGGTATCAATCCACTGCCAGACATTGACAGAGTGGACATTACACACACCCTTATGCTACAGACTGGGGCTTCTACGTGCTACATCTAACTATGAGTACAACCTATATTCGAGTTTTGTTATCCATAAACTTTTAGCTAATTAATTATTATTTTGTTTTGATTTGATGTCTAGACTGTGGTATTGATAATGATTTATCAGACAGTTTGGATTTATCCAAACTAGACATTTAGGCGATATCTGACACACAGATACACACATCTTGACTCACAAATACACACACATACACACCTACACAATCAAACACTCAGATACACACAGTGACATAACAACACTTGCACCCACAGATACACACTCAGATACACACACACAGGCACATACAACACACTGATACATACTGGCACATACACACACACACTTAGATGCACACAGTGACACATAAACAAACCTTGACACAGATACACAAACACTCTTTGACAGACAGACACACACACACACTCTTTGACATACACTCTCACTGACAAACACACACACTCTTTGACAGACACACATACACTCTCACTGACAAACACACACACTCTTTTACAGACACACATACACTCTCATTGACAAGAACAGATACATTCTCACTGACAAACACTCACTGACAAGCTAACATTCACTCTCACTGACAAACATGCAAACACATACAAACAGACACACATACAATAAAAAAAATATATATATTTTACTCCACCCAGCCCCCCTACATTTACGAGTGCTGGCATGGGGTGCCTGGGATCCAGTGGGGCTGCTGGCAACTGGCAGGAAGTCCCTGTGGTCCAGTGGGGCTGGTGGGTGGCTGCTCCCTCGCCCGCGGCCATTTTATTTTCAAATTTTTTGGCGGAACCCCAATTAGTGTTCCGCGGAAAACCAATTGGGAAACACTGATCTATAGGAAAAGGTTACTGATTGCACAAGGTTTGATTTCCTGTTGGTAATTGGTAAGGCATTTGATTTGATTAGCTAGGTGCTTGCTATTAATTGTTTGTTAATTAGCTATTGTTTGCAAATAAACATAGACCTACCCAGGTGTTAAACATTCCTAATGGGTGGTGCTTTTAGGAATTATATAAGGGTTGTTGTCAGGGATCCGCGGGCGGCTAGGAGGGGAGGCTGCACGCCGCTTGCAGCACTCACCCTCACTCCATCGCCGCCCGCGGTCTCCCCTCTGCTTACCTCCTGGTGAGCGGCGTCTCCTCTCTGCCGCTCACCGCTCGCCGCCCGCGTCCTCCATGCCCCCCAGCGGCAGCATGTATAATGCTGCACGCTGGGAGGTCAATGGATTATGTAAACGCCGGGGTCACGTGAGTGACCCGGCATTAAAGAAACAGTACCACAATCACAGTGGGGGGTATAGATATCCCCCACGTGTGATTGTTAATTCTGATTGGAAGTTATCCAATCAGAATTAAACCAAGGGTATTTATACTTACCTTTCCTGTCCCTCAATGCCCTGTTGTGGTCTTGTGTTACCTGTAGCGTAGTGTTCTCGTCTTGCTCTCTGGTTACCGATTACTTGGCTCGTTATTCCGATTATTCTGTCTTCTCCACTCCTTTGACCTCGGCTTGTTTCTCGTTCTCCTGTTTACTGGCTCCCTTTACCTGGCTTGTCTCCTGACCATTCATAGCGTGCTTAGCCCGGCCACTCTAAGGTCCGGTACGGCACCTTTTCTGTGTGTGTGTGTGTGTGTGTGTCAGCGTGTTAGGCTCCCCGAATCGTGACATTACAACAGGGCCACCATGGAACCTGCTGACATTCCACAGCTGTTAGTTAATCAGGAGGCTAGAATGGACGGTTTAGACCACCGTATGGATCAGTTTGCCCAGGCTTTACAAACCATACTGGCTCGTACTGCCCACTTGCCACCTGCCGTCCAAGAAGCTGTTGCTGCTGTGCCAGAACCCATTCCTGATCCGGTACCCGCTCCTGCTCACGTGGTTCACATGACGCCACCTCAGTGCTATAGCGGTGATCCAGCATTGTGCCGTGGTTTCCTCAACCAAATTGAGATTCACTTGGTGATGAATCCTCGTTCCTACCCCACTGACAGAACCAAAATTGCTTTTTTGATTAACCATTTGTCCGGGAAAGCACTAGCATGGGCTAATCCCATGTGGGAGAATACTTCCCCAATGTCCTTTTCAGACTTCTTAACAGCTTTTAAACGTACGTTTGACCAACCCGGCCGGGTTGCTTCTGCTGGCAAAGCTCTGCTTAGGGTTCGACAGGGTAATAGATCAGTAGCGGATTATACCATTGAATTCCGCACTTTGGCAGCTGAAGTGGTCTGGAATAACGACGCTCTCGTAACAGCTTTTCAGGAGGGTTTGGCTTCTTACATTAGATGAAATAGCATCCAGGGAAATGCCTGTTCTTCTGGATGATCTTATAGATTATGTCATTCTAATTGACAACCGTATTAGAGAGAGGCGTAGTCAAAGAAGGATGAATACACAGGGGTTACCTGCTTTACCCAGTACTGCATTGCTAGCATTACCTCCTCCTAATCAACCACCTCCCGAACCCATGCAATTAGGTGCTGTAGGTTTATCTGAAGCTGAAAGAACGTACCGCAGAAGGGAGGGTTTGTGCCTTTATTGTGGTAAGAGGGGGCATCTCCGAAGAAACTGTCCTAGTTTGCAGGGAAACTCCAGCACCTAAGGCCTAGAGAGGGGTTGGCCTCGGGTGTTATGGTTACTCTTTTGGTCAATAAAACCACGGTAACAACTAAAGCCTTGATCGATTCAGGTGCTGCAGACAGCTTTATGGATGAGAACTTTGCTAAAACCGCAGCCTTGAATTTGATCCAAAAGGCCACACCCTTGGCCATTGAGGCCATAGATGGTAGACCACTTGATAAACCTCTGGTGACCCATGAAACCCAAGAAATGGTTATGGTAGTGGGTGCCTTACACAAAGAAAGGATAGCTTTCCAAATAATTGACTCCCCTACAGCTTCCATCATTCTGGGTTTTCCTTGGTTAGTTAAGCATAACCCGGTACTCGATTGGGATTCTCTAGATATACTCTCCTGGGGGGCATCTTGTCAACGAGACTGTATGGCCCGTTTACATCCCGTTTGTTTACTTAATGTGCCTACAGCTAAACCTCTTTCTGTTTCTGTCCCTCCTGTGTATTCAGACCTCGCATTGGTCTTTGAAAAGAGGTAAGCTGATAAACTACCTCCTCACCGGGATTATGATTGTGCCATAAATTTGTTACCTGGAACGATGCCTTCTAGGGGTAAGCTCTACCCGCTTTCTGAGAAAGAAAACCAGGTCATGGAGGAGTACATACAGGAATCCTTACGTAAAGGTTTTATCAGACGATCATCCTCTCCGGCTGGTGCTGGTTTCTTTTTTGTTGCCAAGAAGGAGGGCGATTTGAGACCATGTATAGACTATAGGGGCCTGAATAATATAACAATTAAAAATGCTTATCCTATCCCTCTCATTACTGAGTTGTTTGACCGTGTTAAAGGTTCTAGATATTTTACTAAACTAGACCTCAGGGGGGCTTACAACTTGGTTCGGATAAAAGAAAATGATGAATGGAAGACAGCGTTCAATACACGCAGTGGGCATTACGAGTATCTCGTCATGCCTTTTGGACTGTGTAATGCTCCTGCTGTCTTTCAGGACCTCATAAATGATATCCTTAGAGATCTACTGCATGTCTGTGCTGTGGTTTATCTCGATGATATACTCATATTCTCTCCTGATTTGGAGTCACACCATGCCCATGTGAGAAAGGTACTTAAGAGATTGCTACAGAATGGTCTTTATTGTAAATTGGAGAAATGTTTATTTGACCAGAAATCAGTACAATTCCTAAGGTACGTCATTTCTGAACAGGGGTTCAGTATGGATCCTTCTAAATTAGAAGCCATATTGTCTTGGCCTCTCCCTCAAGGTCTTAAGGCAATACAGCGATTTATAGGCTTTGCCAACTATTATCGCAGATTTATTAAAAACTTTTCATCGGTCATTTCTCCTATCACGAAACTAACTAAAAAGGGTTTGCACCCCAGGGTTTGGACTCCTGAAGCCATCAAAGCTTTTGAAACTCTCAAAAAGGCATTTGCCACTGCCCCTGTACTACACCATCCTGATCCTTCCCTTCCCTTTATAATGGAAGTAGAC